CCTCGGAAGGAAGGTTGGGCAATCCTACTTCCGTAGTGATACTGCCTTGGAAACCCAAGGAGGGGTCGCTATGAGTCAGGGGTGACTCGACGGCACATAACAACAACAACAACAATACACACCATAACATGGATAAACCTTGAAAACATTATACTGACCATAAGTCAATCACAAAATAAAATATAAAGCTTATTAGTGGTATCTAGCTGGGAGGAGTCCCTAGGTGGCACAAATGGTTTACCATTTGAATGCTAGCCAAAAGAATGGCAGGTCAAACCCACACAGGGGTACCTTGGAAGACAGTCATGACAATCTAACTCCAAAAGTTCATAGCCTTGAAAACACTATGAAGCAGTTTTACTCTGCACACATGGGGTCACCCACTGGATGGAATTGACTCTGTGGTAACTAACAAAGCAATAGGTGAGAAGGAGGAGGAAAAAGGAAGTTTTTGTTTGATGGGCACTGAATTTCTGTTAATGATGTTAAAATAATTAGGAAAAAGATGGGAATAAAGGTTGTGCAACATAAAGAATGTAATCAATGTCATCAAATTGTGCATGCAGGAATTGTTGAATTAGCAAATGCTTTGTTGTATATATTTGTACCACAATAAAAACATACATATGCTATAGAAAATATCCATATATAAATGAGGAAAGTGGAGGAGTCTGTGGCAAAATGCAAAGGTTGGATGCTGCTAAAGTCATTCAAATATCATATATATCTATCTATATATATATATATAGAGAGAGAGAGAGAGATGGATATATACACAAATATATACATATGTATGGGAGGGGTTTTTTTTTTTTTTTTAACACTTTAAAGTTTTTTTTTTTTTTTTGCAGCATCTGACCTTTGCATCTAGTCACAGATCTTTCCACTTCCCATATATGTAAGAATCCAACTTATAGTGACCCTGTAGGACAGAGTACAACTTCCCCAGAAGGTTTCCAAGGCTGTAATTTTTTTTTAACTTTTTATTGTGATTTGGGTGACATTTTACAGAGCAGGTTTGTTTTCCATTCAACAGATCATACACATTTTGTTTCATAACATTGATTATAGTCTCCACAATGTAACAGCTCTCTTCTCACTTCCTCCCTGTGGTTCCCTTTTCCCTGGTCCTTCTTCCTTTGCTTCTTGCCTGCCTAGCTCTATTCCTGCACAAATAATGCCCTTTTGATCTCCCATGGTTGACCATTCCAGGGAGTGCATCTCCCTGGTATAATTGTTCAGCTCCTAGCCCTGTCTGTTATTTGGCTGAGAGTTAAGTCATGACAGCGGGTTCAATTCTGGGTCCAAATGTGACTAGGGGCCACAGTCTTGGGGAGTTTCACCAGTCTCCATCCAACCAGTAATCTGTTTTGTTTTTTTTTACGTTTTTAAATTTTGTTCCACATTTTTCTCTCACTCTATGCAGGATCTCCAGTAAGGCTGTATATTTTTATAGAAGCAGACTGCCACATCTTTCTCCTGTGGAGTGGCTGGGTGGGTTTGAAATGTCAACCTTTCAATTATCAGCTGAACACTTAACCACTACACCACCAGGGCCCCTGTTACATATAAATTATATATGATATTTATGTTTATGATCTTTAAAATAATATATATGATAAATTATATATGGGAATATAATTTAAGGATGCTAAAGACCAAACAGATCACTGCACTTCATCCTGGGGCTGTGAGATCAGCTTAGGTTGAAATGTGAACCTGAGTTGAAAGGCTTACTCATCAGACATACACCCTTTTTCTTAATGTGTGATCTGCAGCTTCCTCTGCACCATAGTAAAGTGTTATTAGTTTTCTAGCTATCCCATCAAAACTCTGAGCCTGACTTATTCTAACTTCATATCCAAGCTGCTCATTTTGCAGAGTCAAGAGATCTTAGGCATCAAGCTTCACATCCACCCTTAACATTCCCTTCACTTTACCACGTACACCATCAAACCCAATGGCAGTTACTTTTTTTGTGGCAACTCAGGACATTTGAGGAAGACACACTAAGGGATCACACTAAGGGATTCTTATGGATTGTCTAGTTTCTAAAAAATAAAATACACTCCTTTTCTTCCAGAGAACATTTCTATTTCCAGCATTTCCATTTATCAAATGGAAAGAGCTACCAGAAGAGGTAGAGCATGGAGGTGGCAGCCTCTTGCTCAGCTAGGCCACTCACGGTGATCTCAAGTGGATCCACAGATTCCTAAGAAACAGGTGCTAACTTCTCACCTCAAAGAGCTGTGAGAGGAGTAAAGGAGGGAATGTGTGCAAGCACATGGCATAGAAGAAAGACTTTGCAAGTGCTAGCCACTATAAGTCACAGAGGTGGTTACAGTTATGGTGGAGATGTGACAGTGGAAGTAGTAGTCATAAAACAGGCATGTAGGAATTTCATTTAAGAGTCTGGGAATAGGAAAATAAGAAGGATAGCCTTCATTAAAGAATAACAGTAATCCTTTTATTCAAATGTTGAGATGATGTACCTCTTTCACTGTCTACCTTGATTTCAGAGGAAAACATAAATTCAGTCCCATTAAATATATTATACTAAACAGGTATATAAATTTTCTTCTCCCTCCACACGTGGAAAGAGGAATAAAAGACTATTACATATGACTGTTATTATAAATCACCATAAATCTATATATTGTTTATTTTAAAAAAAATAGAAAGAAAAAAGCTCATTGTAAGACATCTTAAATCATTTTGTGGAAGTAAAGAGAGGAACACTGGCATTATGTTTGGGCTATGGGTGAGGCCCAAGAGTCACTGGCCAAGATTAAATTTTATGTAGTCAAATTATTCTTCAAAATACTTTAACAAAGATATAATAATTACAAACATACATAACAACAGAGTCCCAAAATAGCAAAAAGTGACAGAATTGAAGGGTGAAATAGACAAGTTTCAATAATAGTTAGAGACTTCAGTACTCCACTTTTAATAATGGAGCAGATGACTACATGGGCAATCAGTAAGGAAATAGAAGACCTAGACAATATTATAAACCAACTAGCTCTAACATACATATACAGAATACTCCACCAAGTAACAGCAGAATACACATTCTTCTCAAGTGCACATGAACATTCTCCAGGAAAAACCATATGTTAGGTCACAAACAAGTCTCAATACATGTCAAAAGATTGAAATATTACAAAGTACTTTCTCTGACCACAA